AACGGTATGATTTATTGCTGTTGTCTTTGACTTGAGGCTCAGATTATATAGATTAAACGCTGACGTATTTTTTCTATACCTAAATTGTCGTGTTAATTTCTAATATATCAACGACGAATCTGTAAAAACCAGTATTTTCTAATCGTGTTTCTGGTGTCAGATTCGACCCAGTCGACTCGATATAAATAAAAAGGCGTTTTGGCAAAGCCTGGGGGCCGTAAGGGGGTGGGGTTGTCGAATGGTCTAAAGCTTGCGCTTTAGATCATAAGACCTGTCACCTTTTCCTCAAGCGTCTAAAGAGCAAGCGAATTATTGAAATGAAATTGCACTATATTATGTTGGTCAGTGTTGATAGACGGAAGGCCGGGCAGAATCAGCATATAGTTGTTCGGATAGTACGAAACATTGCCGTCCCGTGTACCCTTGGCGCGCTCTCAAAAGATTCATGTTTTGGGTAGACAAAAAAAGGCCTTTTCATTCTCCGGTTGTGAAGACAAACATTGACAAAATACAAACATACATGATTTTCTTTAGGACCACTCTCAATATACAGATTATCCGGCGTGGTTTCCCCTTGTCAGTGATGCAGGATGGAGGGCCTGACAAGAACACCTGTCTAGTCGTTCGGATGGGACGAAAAACCGAGGTCCCGTGTACACATTGGCGTGCACGTTAAAGATACCTTGGCAGTTGGAATTCGATATAAGAGTAAGCCGTAGCGCCGCTGCCCGGGCAAAATTTCCCTTATAGCACACTGTATGGCGTATGCCCGTCTTCATTAGCCCAGGTTAGGAGCCCAGGTTATATTTCTCAATATAGAGGGAGCTACGGAGACTCAGTAAGACGCTAGACTGGTAACCAGGCATACTAAACTTATACTGTCTATCTACAATTATCTCCTCTTGAGAACAGACACTAAACTAGTTGACCGACATTTTAATTCCTAAATCGACGATTTTAGTCGAAACCTCTAAGTATATTTCGATAATATTGAGAAATATTTATTTCGCTTAAATTTAATAACATTGAAAAGGTTTATTTAGTCTTGTGTGTATGGCAGATATGAAATGGAGTAGAACCACCAAACAAAATAGTATACTAAGTTTTGGATATTGCCGCCATTTAGGGCAGAGAACTATTCTCGAAGTAGGTAGTTCTCTATGTGCAGAATGGTAACCAGGAAGTCTCGGGTTCGCTCTCCATCTTGGTAGAGAAAGTTCCTCGAGATTGTCCAGTGTAGTTCCTGCCTGGCGGAGGGGGTGGGGGCTGACAAGGAACATTGTCTAGTCCTTCGGGTGGGGCAAAAACACGAGGTCGCGTGTAAACATTGGCTTGAACGTAAAAGAACTCTTTGACAGTTGGACTTCGAAATAAGAGTAGGCCACAGCGCCGCTGTCCGGGCACAATTCCCCCTATAGTACACTGTATAGCGTATGTCTTCATTAGCCCAGTCTGTATAGAATGTTAAACTACTCTCAATTTCAAGTCTGAGTGATGTCAGTGGGATTTAGTATTGGAGATCTTAAAGACCTACAAGACTTATTCTGTTGTTTTTATTGTACGTAGTTTAATGTGGCTGATTACAATCAGATTTTTATATAATGTCGGTTAAATTTATTTACCAAAGCGGAGTGGATATATAGTTGGTATATTAAAGGAGCTAAATCCCTACTACACGTATTTGGAATCTAGAAATTGACACAAATGGGCTGCAACGCATATATTAATGTAATCTGAATGTATAGACTAATTTACATTCAATCTTTTCTGTTTTTACTCTAATTTCAAATCCGTTATGTTCGGCGAAATACCCGTTATTCTAGTCTATTGCGCATGCTCTTCAGATAAAATATGGCGTCCCCATTTGACATGACTTGTGGAATATGTTTAGCCTCGTTCTTTCTTGTCAATTGTTACAAATGGCGCTGAAACGGATTATGGTACACGATTCGTGTACCAATGGTAAAATGTTTATTTTGTCTTAAATATTGAATATCAGAAGCCAATCTTTCCCGGTAAGATCACAACATCAATGTTGATTTAAATTGACAAATAATTCGTGTTTTGAATGTGGAAGACTTTGGATGATATTGAGTTAGAGATTTAGCTACTTTAACATGCGATAGTTCAAATGGATTGGGATTACACGAGGCCATCACAGTTAGAGATTAGTGGGTGCGAAATGGGAACCATCTTTAAATGCCCCGGATTTAAACATTCAATTTAAACAGCCGAAGTTAGAATATAACAATATTCGTTGGCGTACGTATGTCCATGGGCGCACGGGTGGGGAATTCCTCGTAATTATATACAGAATCGACGATACGCATATTCCTGAAGCAATGGTCCGAAAGATTCGACAATATAGGTCATTTCGAGATTAAAACATGGTTCAAGTTCATTTCAAGCTTACTCCTTGTCACGCACAAACTGGGAATCAAACTGGGAATGGAAACCATGTCGACTGACTCAATGACAGACCTTGTGATCTAAAGCGCACACATTAAAACATTCGGCCACCCAACCTCCCAAAATTTAATAAGGTCGTTTATCTGGAATATTCGCTGACCATTAACCCTTCATTAATTTACTATCATTAATAAATTGTTAATCTGTTTGCCTTCACCGTCCGTGTAATGTTAATCAACTGATTTGTCCAAACTAAGAAGCACAGTTGTCCGCCCTGCCCCACCCCCTCAGGTGGTACGCCCATGTATATGTCAACCCGTGATATTTTATTTTTCTACGTAAATTTAAAGTAGGTTTAAGAAATTTTATGGCCATTTTACCGTGTTCTAGGCCGTCTACATTAGTGTGGCTTTTGCCGTTAAATGTCATTTCATTTCATCCCTGTTCGCTCTCGGGGTTGACCGAGAAAGGTATCGGCATTTTCCGGCGTGGTTTCTCCTTGTCAGTGGTGCAGGACGGAGGGCCTGACAAGGACGGAAGACACATTGGAGTACACGTAAAAGATCCCTCGGCAGTATGAATTCGATATAATTCTAGGCCATAGCGTCGCTGTCCGAGCACAATTTCCCTCATAGCACACTGTATGGCGAATGCCCGTTTTCATTAGTCCATAACAGAAAGGGTGTTAAACTCCATTTTATTCCTGTGTTTCAATGGATCCTATATCGATAGAGTATCATGTAATAACACTGTTTTCAGCTATTCTTGTCAGGTTGGAGAGGGGAGGGGGGCGCCTCCTTGATTATAACTTGTACGTGACAATGACTAGGAATGCCTGTTTAACCTCACGGGTTTTCTAAGGGTCACATATTTCTACGCATGTATTAAAATACCCCCCACCCCTCTCTCTCTCTCTTCAAAATCTAAACTAATGACATATACAGGTAAGGTCTGAAATCTCTTTAGTTAATTATACATGAGATAAGCAGAAATTCATTAAAATAAGTGGGGCGTGAATATTGAGCAAATTAACCAAATTAACCATTTGTCTTCTGGGCATCAGATGAACTCAACGATAATGACATTAACAATATTAAAACAAGGAAGTATGGACGTATATGAGGACAGGGCACCATTAATTCTTATGGTGGTTATGAAGCTAGCGCAAAAGTTATTTATACCCTTTCACTCACCCTTCCGTTCCCACTTTTGCTTGGCGATTTTTGTTGCAGAATCGAAGGGGTTTGGTCAGGTTTTTGAAGAATATTCGTGAAAGGGAGGATAACAGTGTTATGAGGGTGGTTCGCTTGAAATGAAACATGGGCCAGATACCAATCTGATTATAAAACACAGATCCTATATATTTCGTTTCGTTTTTTATTGTTCAAAATTTCGCATTACTTGTCTTCTGGAAGAGTTGTTATATAACAGGCGTTCTAGTTGAGGAATTAGCCATCGAAACGGTCTATTACGGTGAGATCTTGATTTTGGCGTTTCATGCACCGGGGGGGGGGGGGTGCGAATGGTTAGCGCGTGTGCGTTCTATTATAAGGTCTGTTATTGACATTAAGTCAACTGGCGTGGTTTCGATTCCCCCGGTTGCACGTGACATGGAGTAGGGTCGCCTGTCCAACCTCGCCTGTCCGGTTTCCTTCCACTGCTAAAGAACCTAGTCACGTGCAATTGAAATACAAATGAACCATATCTTAGTCCCGAAATGACCTAGTTTGTGTCGAGTGGACGTTAATCCCCTCTCGCGCACGTAAAATAACAAAATAAAGAATAAATATAGTTATTTTATTCATCCGAATATTGTCTGGAGTCTTATTTTAGTTTTCATTTTACTTTTATAAATTTTGTAATCGAAAGTGCCGGCAAAAAGAACACAGAGTAATAAATCAAGTATTCTAGACCGCCATGTTTGTACATGTGTACAAGATATTGGTAATGAGTAAAACACATGTTAATATCAAGTTGAAATAACTTAACTAACTTATACTCAGACTCTGTCATTAGTTTTACATAGAAAACATACATACATCTAGGTCGTGTTTAATATAGAAACAGACTTAATGGTATTAATCCTTTAGAGGCATGTAGTAACTGGATAAAGCAATAAACTAGAACACTTACTTATGGAAATGAAATGAAATGGGGTTTAACGTCCTAATGTTTTGCTCCGACTGGGCTAATGAAGACGAGCATACGCCATACAGTGTGCTATGAGGGAAATTTTGCCCGAACAGCGGCGCTATGGCCTAATCTAATATCAAATTCCAACTACACCGAGGGATCTTTTACGTACACGACAATGTGTTTTTCGTCCCATCCGAACGACTAGACAGCTGCCCTTGTCAGTCCCTCCGTCCCCGCACCACTGACAAGTGCAAACTGCGTCGTAAATCCCAATGAACTTTCGTTGCCAACACCGGGAGCGAACCCCCGACCTTCAGACTAGGAACACTGCTGGGCAACAGTTTATTAGCTTCTACCGAACACTGCCTGGTAAACCGATTTCCGTCGCACCACGTGTAAAATCTGACATGTAAAATATCTGAACCATTTTTAACCAGCCGTAAAATAGGCGAAGTTGTGACAGTTTTATTTCCAACTTCAATAGCGTCAGGGTTAACAACTCTACATCTTCAATTCTAAATTACTAATTGTTTCCTGCTTTAAACGGCTGGGGCCTGCCTCGTTTTTGAATGTGTTTAAACAGAAGAAGAATTTTCGAGGTGGCCAGGTTTGTTTTTTTACAGTTTGTATATGTTTCTCATGTTGAACTCTTTATTGATTCTCATGAAAACGGATGGTGTTGTGTCTTCGGGATTACAGATAGTTTATTGGACGGGTTAATGGTCTTGTATTATAAAAGTTCTTATTGTCTCTTGGCCAAAACAACTGCTACCAGCTTATAAAATGAAATGGGGTTTAAAGTCCTTTTGGGCACATGTAAACGGACATACGCCATACAGTGTGCTATGGGGGAAATTTCCCGGACGACCGCACTATGACCTACTCCGTTTTTTGAATTGTGTACATGGAAACTCGATTTGCTTGGTTAATCAGAAGGATGAGACATTGCTCTTTGTCAGGCCCTCCATCCTACACAAGGGAAAACGACGCAGAAAAGTCCCGCGACACGTTCTCGACCGCCACTGGAAGCGAACCTGAGACGCGGTCTACCAGCTTATATCTTGAATTTTTATTATTAAAATACGTTATGCAAGAGCTAAATCTGCCTATTGCAGGTCTTTCTTATCTCCTGAACAATCAAAATTATATTCAGACATTTATTCACACAAAGGGTCAATAATCCACTCTCTAGCCCATCGATACATAGGATCAAAGATCTATTGATAACGATGACTGTTGATTTGACTTCTTTATTTTAACAGTACAGGAACAAAACACAGATCCAATTTCGTTTCGTTTTTTATAGTTCAAAATTTCGTTTTTACTTGTCTTTACTACATGTAGTGTAGGCCATCGAAAGTATAAAAAACGAAACGAAATATATATCTATATTTTAATTAGATTGAGGAACAAACATTAATAATTAGTGCATCTAAACTTCTAACACCCACTAAAGGACACGGGAACATAACACTGTAGTCATGTCGACCATCGTCCTGGTTCACGCCTGCCTCCATTAATCCTCGTTCTGTGTTGAGCCTCCCAGCTCCCCTAGTGAGCAACCCAAGCTCGTCTCCTTTATGTCATATACCCAAGCCATTTTATACTAATTCAGTTCATTGAAGTTATCTAAAATGAAATTAGATTATCCGTGATAAGCATATGACAGACTACATAACAATGGATGTGTGATAACTTACTTGACCACTCACTATACATGATTATCTAACTCGACCATTTACATACATTAGCTAGACTAATTGTATCTTCAACTCACAGTTATATACCACAGCTGCTTAATATTATATAACAATTTTCATTCCTTAATTCGAAGTCTCGGTAAATGGTGTCCATTTTATCTTGAATCCACCTAATATCTAAACCATCCTATGGTCTAGAGAGTTGATTATGTAATGTTTAAATAATAATTTATAAAACATTTTAAGCCAGAAAAGGGACTTACAATAGATAGGTTTAGCTCCTACATAATGTCACTTTAATTAAATATATTTGATAAGAAGATAAAACAATCGGTTAAAAGTACCATTAGCTGCTCGAGAGAACAGGTTGAGCTCTTACATAATGACACTTAAATATATTTTATAAAAAGATAAGACAATCGGTTAACAGTACCATTAGCTGCTCGAGAGAACGATTGTATAACAGATATGGAATTTATCCAGCTATCTATATATATATATCAGTATATTATCTTTTAGCATCGAATCGATTATCGAAATACCCGTAGGAAGTATCGAAGCAAAGACATATGGGCGCTTTTAGAAATGAAATGGGGGTTTAACGTCCTATTTGTATGCACCATCCCGGATAATGAAAACGGGCAATGTCTATAAGATAATTGTTTTGCTATGAAAAAAATCTTGCTTTGACAGACATTTTGCCCACTTACTCTTTTGTCTCTTTCGATGGACAAGACAGGCCCTCCGCCAAGGAAAGATTGACAAGGGGAACAAACTGAAATATCCCAAGTAACTTTCTTTGTTGACACCGGGTTGGAAACAGGGCGCTTTATGATATGATCATATGTTCAGATGTCGGGTGTTCAGATGATCCCACGCTTGTTCTTGATGAGAAGAGAGAGAGAGAAATGGATCACTCGACACTAACTAGGCCATTTTGGGAATAACTTGATAAGGACTATCATCGCTTGATTAATCCTCGTTGAAGGTTCATCGATTTACTTGAATCCTCTAGACCTTTATACGCAAGAGAATGCTTATGTTAGTCCTAAAATGACCTATTTTGTGCTCTAACCAGGACTTCGGTGGGACAAAAATTCTAGGGCGACCCGTGTAAACATTGGCGTGCACGCTAAAGAACCCTAGGTAGTTGGAATTTGTCGCTATCTGGGCAAAATTCACCCCCTCCGAGTTGCACATTAAAATGAAAATGACCGTAATTATGTTAGTCTCCCTCTCTCTCTCTCTGAACGATTCCCCGGTAACGCGTGACAAGGAGTAAGGTCGCCTGTCCAACCTCGTGGGTTTTCTCCTAAGAAATCCACTTCTTAGGTTACATGTCTAAAAAAGGTTCCTACATAAAAAGTAATAAAAGAAAATGTTTAATGCCTTCTTATTTTTCTTATATTTTTTTAAAACTGATTTAAATCTTTTTTTTAGAATTATAATGAATTGGATTTGTGTCAGATACACTTCATTACTTCTTTGGTGCTATAAAATTTGGGGCTTGTCATATTGGAAATATTTATATATGCCATAAAATGTAATTGAAAAGTAATTGAAATGTAATTGACCATTACATGATTTTTGGAATGTAATTAATTACATTTCCATTACTCATTACTTTTGAAATCTTCCATTACTCATTACATGACCATTACTTAAAAAATGTAATGATTACATTCCATTACCATTACCCATTACGATTACCCCAGCCCTGTCGTATATACGAGTTTGATATAATTGCTGCGGTATTTTGTTATAGGAATGGCAAGATGTAAGACACTCATAAACACAGCTAGTGTGCGGAATTTCTTTTCATTTTCATACCTTTATTACCGAGTCCCGTGTTTCAAGTGGAACCGAGTTAATTATTAGTATATTAGCATTATTAGTATTATTAGCAAATTTCAAACTCATAATTCTCAATACTTAAATATATATCAGATTCGTCGGTTCTCCAGAAACACGACGATATGTCTATAGATATTTTTTCGATCCCTGCATTGGTCGAGAAAGTTCATTCAGATTTTCCGGCGTGGTTTCCCCTTGTCAGTGATGCAGGATGGAGGGCCTGACAAGGACAGTTGTCTAGTCGTTCGGGTGGTACGAAAAACCGAGGTCCCATGTACACATTGGCGAGCACGTAAAAGATCTCTTGGCAGTAGGACGTTAAACTCCATTTCATTTCATTTCTATAGATATTTTAATATCTATAGACATATTAAAATACAGCAAAAGTGTGTATTTGTTTTAAACTGCGATCCGTGTTTGAAATGGAACCGAGTTTTTGCAGAATTCTGTGTTTATCTTAGTTCCGTGTTTCAATTTTAACCGAATTATTATTGCAGAATTCTGTTTATGTTTTTTTTAAACAGAATTCTATGTTTGTTGTAGAAGAGAGTTGATGATGTATATGTATATAAGTCGTGTTAGCAGTAATAATGAGACACTGGCTGACTGAGTGGAAGAATCAAGTCAACAACACAGAAGGGGATAAGTAAAAGATATTGATGTGAATAGTTCTGGCCTGTATACAACCACGTCGTTTATCAAACTTTTACACAGCAGAATGTATAGACGATATTGATAAACTATTTGTTACAGCCACTAACAGTGTTACAAAAAAACTAACAACAGATCGCTTAAATCATCAGAAAATAACAGAACTTAGCGAACTCTAGTTGATATTGGTTTACAGGAATCGTGGAATACTGATATATTTAAAAGCACCAGACAGTGTGCTGCCGGATAGTTCAAACAAATTACAGTTGTTTCTTAAATTGATCTGTTTAAATACGCACCTTACAGAAACTGGAGATAACGTGGTGGAATTGGAGATAACGGAGGAGATACCTGGGGAGAACAGGAGATAATATCCTGGGCTATTTGTGAACAACAAACTGTATTTTTTTGTATTTAAAGGAACTCTGTTTCCCTATTGCTGCCCTTTTAAAAGTCGTATAAAGTTTAAAAGTGAAGACTTGGTGACATCAGATCGTCAACTGAAACCATATATTTTTTGCAGATATTTTAACCTGTAATGGGTTTATCATAGACTGAAATTGGAGCCATTCTGAACTGTGAATTATATTCGTAATCTGTTGATTATCTCTCATTCACACTGCGTACTATCTCCACGGGAATCGAAGAAGGCGGGTAACATATTTCTTAGTGGTTAAAATAATAACACTACATAAATTACGAAAATTTCAGATTATCCACGCTATTGATAGAAGATCGTGTGAACGCGGAAGCTTGACGCGATTCTTAACTTTCTCGCATAAATTAAGGACTGAAAGATATTCCACGTGTTGGTGTTGTCGGACCTCACAATTCCATCTTTCATTCTCAGATAAAGACAAAATAACAACATCGTCTAATCCTCGAAGTTTGTCTACATTTCGTTGGGTGTTATTTCAACGGGAAAGTATTTCGTAATACATAACTTTTATAAACATCAATTATATGTGAAGACCGTGTGTTGGTGTTGACTGGCAGTTTATTCCTGATTTTATTCTCAGAAATTTGCAGGTTGTTTAACAACCATTCCTATATTTTACCGCTCTCACTCTCTCAGATAAATATAGATTGGTGAATTATCTTATCTCTTACCTGATCGTGTGTTCAGGTGTCTTCGGGTGTATTCACCATTAGATAGGACTTAGTAAAACGACATTCTTTGTTTCTTGTGGATATTGAGGACGACAAGGACAGCTGTTTTGGAAGCAGGACACTCTCTCAGGACACACGGGTATGTATTCAAGATTTTTATTTATATTTGTATATGGCTTATTATTAACGGGACACGACTTATCTAAAGTCTCGGAGCCATATTCAAGAAAATTTAAACCAACATATTTTAAGAATACCGACGGTTCATTGGCTTAGAACTAAAATCATAGCATAGATTTTAACTCCTGGTTGAATTTAAACTTTCTTGAATAAGGCCCCTGGTCGTCCTTTGAAGGAGTTTCCTCCCATTGCTAAAGACCCCTACGCGCAAGTGAATTATTGAAATAAAATTGAACCGTATTTTAATCCCGAAGTGACCTAGTTTATGTCGAGCGGAACTTACCCCCACCCCTTCTCTCCCTCATTTGAAGAATTTGTAATCTCTTGTAAACTGGAGTCACAGTGGCTAAGTGAGTAAGACGGTGGCTCGCTAGCCTGGAGGTAGCGGGTTCGCTCCCGGTGTTGACCGAGAAAGTGGTTCCCCCTTGTCAGTGGCGCAGGATGGAGGGCCTGACAATGACAGCAGTCTAGTCCTTCGGATGGGACGAAAAACCGAGGCCACGTGTACACATTGGCGTGCACGTAAAAGATCCCTTGACATGGAAATCGATATAAGAGTAGGTCACAGCGTCGCTGTCCGGACAAAATTTCCCTCATAGCACACTGTATGGCGTATGCCCTTCTTCATTAGCCCAGTCGAAGCAGTACAGTAGAACGTACGTTAAACCCCATTTCATTTCTCTTGCAAACTAAAATTTGTTAAAAGTTGAATATCAGTCTAAACATGATTCCATTCCGTTCAATATTATATACAGAGATACAAAGAGTTAAACATTTATCAACCTTTTTAATCATCTGTAGACGATATAAAAAGTTATGGATAAATGCTTAGAAATATATTAGTTTGTTTTGTATATTTCTATAAAATATTGAAAGAATGTTCTATATATAGTGAAAAAGAAGTTAAAGCTGCATTATGTAAAAGCTAAACCTGTCTAATTCAGGTCTAGGTTTTTTTGTGTATATATGTTATATATATTGTTTGTTAGGTATTAAGTCCATCTAAATCTTAGATAATGCATCTATAAACCATGAAAATACTTAATCCATGCCGAGAGATTATCTACTGTTGTTATAATGGTTTTGCGTTCTTAATTAAATATGGATTAAGCCGTGAAAAACTAGTACGAAAAATTCAAATGACGAAAAGCTAGCGTCGATGAGAGAGAGAGAGCGAGAGAGAGAGAGAGAGAGAGAGTTTAACGTCCACTCGATACAAACTAGGTCAATTCGGTACTAACATATGGTTCAATTCTTTTTATTTCACTAATTCGCTTGCGCGTAGGGGTCTTTAACAGTGGGAGGAAACCCGAGGATCCGGAGAAACCCCACGAGACTGCACAGGAGAACCTACTCCTTGTCACGTACAACCAGTGAATCGAAACCACGCCAGTTGACTCAATGACAAACCTAATGATACAACGCGCACGCGCTAACCTTTCCATGAAAATCCGAACGTTTTAGACCCAACCCATGGTAAATTTCTACGATATTTGGAGACAAATTGCCCCTGGACTTACCAGCGTGGTGTCACCAAGCAACTATTTGCAGGACCATAGTATAATGTATTATAAGGTCCATGGCAGGACTAAGGCCCTGGCAGAAAACAGGCATCTAGTCTTTACAAGTTGGCGTACACGTAGAGGGAACCTTTACAATTCGAATTCGACGAAGAGTATGCGAAACGCCGTTTTCCTGGCAAAATGTATTTCGTAGCACGTTGTGTGGCGTGTACCCATCTTTAGTAGACCGGTTGGTGAAGTAATGGAGAATATTATAGTCAAAATGGGAACAAAATCGGACAATTGACAATTCCAAACCATCTGACCAGTTAATACATAAATAAAAGCAGAAATTGCACCATAACATATCATATACGTACTTTAAATTTGATGAAGATGATGATGATGATGATGATGATAAATTTGGTTCTTTAATTAATATCTACTTCCACTAACATGATATCGCAGACAAGACGTAGGAAATCCGAAACTTCTTCCTGTATATTAAGAATATGATTTTGCAATCTTTCCATTTACGGCCTTAGGCCATGAAATAGTCTAGTAGGACGTTCTTCCCTTTATTTAATACAAAAAACATATTGTTTGGTATTATAGTTGATCTATGGAAATAGCATTTACGCGGACATATATTATGCGTCACTTCTTTGGATCGGGGGGGGGGGGTGGATGGCTGAATGGTTAGCGTGCGCGCGCTGTATCATAAAGTCTGCCATTGAGTCGACTGGCGTGGATTCGAATCCCCGGTTGTACGTGACAAGGAGTAGGGTCGCCTGTCCAACCTCGTGGGTTTCCTCCCACTGCTAAAGACCCCTACGCGCAAGCGAATTATGTAAATAAGATTAAACCATATGTTAGCTAGTCCCGAAATGACCTAGTTTGTGTCGAGTGGACGTTAAACCCCATTTCTCTCTCTCTCTCTCTCTCTCTTTGGATCGGTAACTTTAAGTTTCATAAACAAAAACACATACTTATTGAAAAACAACTACTTATTTATTTGGGCGACGTTTCGAAGAGTATTCTGTCAACCTTATCAAGCTAATAACTTAAGAGAATACTCTTCGAAACGTCGCCCAAATAAATAAGTAGCTGTTTTCCATAAATATGTGTTTTTGTGTATTGCTCTATCCAGTTACTAAATGCCTTTAAGAAAACTGTGTTAGTGGTGACAAATGGGGTCGGCCATTTTGTGTATAGTCTGTTTATGACGTGTTAAACTCATTAGTTTTAAATAACAATCTTCCATTTTATCTGAAGCATGACTTCATGTGTTAAATCCATCAGTACAATCCTACACACAACCCATGGTTTAATGTTCTATCTGTTCTGAACCACTCGGGCTAATGTAGACGGGCATGCTTCGTGCTGTGTGCTATGAGAAAGGGGGAGAGAAAAATGTGGTTTAACGTCCACTCGACTCAAACTAGATCATTTTGGGACTAACGTGATTCAATTTTATTTCATTAATTAGCAGTGGGAGGAAACCGGACCCACGAGGTTGGACAGGCGACCCTACACATTGTCACGTACAAGGCGGGGAATCGAACCCACGCAACTTGACTCAATGACAGGCCTTATAATACAACGTGCACGTGTTAACCATTCGCGCCCCCCCCCCCCCCCCAATCCACCTGTATGCTATGAGGGATACTGACGTTTCCGTCTCCTAATATTTCACTATATGTTTGGTTTAAAGTGGGGGGGGGGGGTCGACGAATGGTTAACGCGTGTGCAAATTATTGAAATAAAGTTGAACCGTGTGTTAATTCGGAAATGACCTAATTTGTGTCGAGTAGACGTTAAACCCCATCTCTCTCTCTCTCTCACTCTCTCTCTCTCTCTCTCTCTCTCTCTCTCTCTCTCTCTTACGTGCAATCGGCGGGACCTGGGGTTTTCTTAAAAATCAAATTAACTAGAGGCTGTTATAACAGATCCATCTTTCATGATAAAAAAATGACGCAATGAGACTTTAAAAGAGTAAAAAAAAAAAAAAAAAAAAAATAATAATAAAAAAAATACTGGTTACACAACAATCTGAAAACTGATAAAAAGGTTACAAAATAGTACCTTCGTTTAAACTCCAATCATTTTAGCCTTACAATTACTCTTGAAATAAGCTTAAAATAAAATTCTAATGACGTGCGGACACATTCCTGGATTACCTTGGTTTCCTAATGACCTTTTTCAAAAAGAGAATAGTGTTATCGATAAATTGATGGTTGCAGTTTATGTATCGTGTTATTGGAGTGATATTTGAAGTGTAAATTATGGGCCTGTCTACAACATGTATTTCGTGTTGATGTGTCTACAAAAATAAACGAAATGAAATGGGATTTAACGGTCTACCTTTCTGAACAGACTGGGTCAATGGGGGAAATTTTACCCGGACAGCGACACTACGCTACGGACTACTCTTATTTCGAAATCCAACTGTCAATGGTTCTTTTACTGCATGCACACGTACCATGTTTTTTTTATCCCATCCGAACGACTAGACACGGTCCTTGCCAGGCCCTCCGTCCCGCAACTGACAAGGTAAGGGGAAACAGCGCAACTCTAAAGCCCCGTTTACATTACAAATTTTAAGAGTGTCAGGAACGGTTCCGACACGGAACGGTTATTTATTTTTATAGTGTAAACGGGTCAAACATAAGCATTCCGTACTGAAAACCGTTCCAATTTGGACCACTGAAGTGAGGTGGTCACGGACATTCAGAGTATAGCACGGTTAAATTTCCGTAATGTAAACGCTCTCCGGTTATTTAGTTTTTGTAGACTAAACGGGTCAAACATAAACATTCCGGTTATTTATTTTTTGTAGTGTAAACGGGCCAAACATAAGCATTCCGTACTGAAAACCGTTCCAATTTGGACCACTGAAGTGAGGTGGTCTCGGAACGGTTCTCAGTACAGCACGGTTAAATTTTCGTAATGTAAACGCTTTCCGGTCTGAGAATTATAGCGCATGAGTCAAATGAACCTCGCTCCTTTTAGCGCGAGCTTTGATCGTTCTGCCAAAATGGCTGCCCGAGGATTGATTTGATTCCGCTTAGGGGAGATGAGTATCTCAAGTCGCCTAAAAAATAACTATTCGGTCTGGATTTATTTCGTGCTCTCAATAACAAAATGGAAAAAAAAAAAAAAAAAATAATGGGCCAAATGTAACTAAATCACCCACCATAATTGTTTTCATCCTGGTAATTTGCAAAGGGACTGAAATTAACTCTACAGTCCGAGACCGGTTATTGAAGCGTGATGCAAACGTGTCATTTTCTAAAAATTTATCACGGCCAGGAACGGTCCCGAAAACCGAACGCTTATCGCGGCCTATCGCTCTCCGGGCAAAATTTCCCTCATAGCACACTGTATGGCATATTAAGCCCGTCTTCATTAGCCCAGTCATTTCATTTCCTACTTCATTGAGTACATGACGGGTTTC